GCGCACACGTGTAAGCTAGGTAGTGAGCACTAGGCCCACTACAATTCTAATCTTCCTTCTTCCGTCCGACATTTTCTGCCCCGAGAAAGTTGGCGACTGGACCAACCCCATGGATTACAGACCTCAAGCTCTACTCAACTCAGACTACAAAATATTCTCTCGAATTCTTGCGACACGGACAAGGGGGCACCTTCACCGACTTATACATGCCAATCAGTCAGGTTTAGTCCTGGGGGACAACTTCACGACACTGTAGATTTGTACTGGGCTGAAGGCGGAGCTTTTTGTGTTCGCTGCAACGGAGGTTACATGATGGGCTCGAACAGCCTCTGCCGACATGCGAGGAGTGGGTGACATACTATACGCCCATTGCTCTGGAAAGGAGATAACAGAACTATACATCACACCAGGGTATCGCGAAGACGGTATCGCTGGTGCCACATACCCTGAGATTTTATGGGCGGCAGGGCAATTGATGATCAGAGTTGCAGGTCTGGACCTCTTTCAGGGACTCAGGTGGAACGTTTATCGGACATGCACACCACGTTCAACACGCTTCTTCCGACCTGTGCCGCGGATTGGACGGAAGGGCAGTTTGTGGTGGATTTTTCCATTATTCAGAAGGATCTGATCACCGGTTATCGACGATGGATCCAGCATACCAGAGGGGAAGTCCTAATAGAATGTCTACCTTTTATCGAACTCTCACACATACTCATGTGAAACGAGGAATGCAACCTGTCGCTATGTCTAAGGAGGTCCCATTGCTAACGTCCGGGAATGCTACGATTGGGAGAGTGATAGCCTGGGCCAGACCTTGTGGTGAGGTATTATGCTTTCAAGTCTTGAATGAGGGGAGCCCGTAACAACCGTATCGGCGCGGCGTAAACCTCAGATGGTGCGCCATGTTGCGTTTCTCCTACTCAATTTTCTGAAACTGTTACCTCAGAAAGGGATAGAGTTAGAAGTTCGGGTGCTAGCCCATCCGGTGGATCATCCATATATTGTAAGTCTTACCCCTGGTCCTCCGGTCACGGCAATTCTAGAGAACGTAGACGATACCATGGCCTATTACACTGCTCCAAGCACGTTGATCTCGGGTGCGTCATCATGGACTTACTACCACATTCACTACTAGTGCGATGCTGCACCATTCGACTTGGTGGTAGGCGGAGTCCCCCAAAGAGGCAGCATTACGCCCAAATTGCGGCTGCAAGGATTCTCAACAAAGGCCTCCAAAAGCTTAAGTCGCGTACAGAGCATTGGGGATCGGAGAATCCAGCATTCGAGGGACTGTGTGGTCTGAAATTCGACGCATCACCGAACCCCTTGTATGGAGTGAACAACTCCTGTATTGACTCAAAGTCAGGTGTCTACAGTTTTACTCGACGAACTTTCAGCGTCCAGGATGTTCTCATCCGACGTGCGGGTCTTCCTCGGTTTTTTAGGGACATGTTTTCTGGGATTGTCCGGCGGCTAAGGAATTGTGCAATATTTTCGCGAGACGTGAACGAGAACCAGGTTATCCATCGACATCGATATACCAAGCACGGTACTAACTTTCACGCTTGTCTCCTTCCCGCGGAGTTCGCTGACAAGGTCGACAGCATTTAGAAATGGATTCCCCCGATGCGACAGGAGCAGACTTTTAGCACTCCTTCCTGATGAGACGCAACGGTGATGGCGTTTTATGATTGCCATTGTTCTTCATACGAAATGAAAATGGAGACTGGAATATATGGAATTGGATCTCAACGTGGCGACGTGCAGGTTCCCGGGCTTATTAGCTATACGTTTTAAGATACACTCACACCATTATTTTCAGATAGGAGCTCGGGATCGCCAGAGACCAAGCGTACCAGGTTGTACTTGAGGTGCTTTGTCACTACGGAACCAGCAATGTCAGGATTGGCCATCTCTGCACGCGTTGAGAATATCATATTCTTTCATGGCGAATCACGGGACAATCCGGGACCTGGAGGAACTGGAACCGTGATACTTCGGGCAGTAGCTACGATATACCCATGTTGGATAGCTAGCATGTCCTATGGGCGGGCTTGAATGACAAATATACAAGCGGAGTATCTCGGGTTGTTACACGGGTTGGGATATGCGTGGGCAGCGAGACTTCAATCCGTCCATGTTGTCGGCGACAGCCAATTTATTATCCGACAGATGCGGAACAAACGCATCCCCAAAGAAGAAGTACTACGCACTCGGGTCGACTCTTGGGGGACAAGTGTTGAGTGGAAACATGGACGCATCATTACCGCGAATTCAATCGAACGACAGATTCACTGGCGAATTTGCAATGGACACGACCCATAGCTGATAAACGCGCGTCACAATGCACGGGGAACCCAACGTACGCTGGAGCGCCCCATTCCAACACGGTCATGCAGACTATGCAAAATGGCAGACACGTATCTTGGACCAAGTTGGTTCAGGCTAGACGCCGGGACGGAAATGCGTCACTACATCAAGGCTACTGACGGTATGGGCTGTAGCTTCTGTATATTAGTAGTCGTTAGCACAGAAGTCCTAAGTGAAGACAGTATTCCTCACCTGAAATTGAAACTTGAAATGAAGTGACAGAACACTAGGTAGCTACGTTAAGGTAAGGAACCAGTTGTCCGTCACTTTTACGATGTTCGGCAAGCGGAATTTTGTAACACAGGAACTAGAGCTCTGAAAAAGGCAAATAGGGTACCATTAGCAAGCTGAAGATCTCAGCTATATCGTCGACTTTTGATGGTTTTTTTTAAAGCGAAGCACTTGAAACTATTCAAACGATCATTTCCGCGAGGCGACTGTTCAGAACAAACCAATCAGTTATCCGTCAGACGAGTTTGTATGGGGATTTTTTTACTGTCGAGATTTGTAAAAGTAGGAGGGTAGGGATTTGCGGTTCCCAACCTTTACCTCTATGGAGCTTATCTCAGGGGTCACATTGGAAGCTACAGTGTATTAAGAAATACAGGCCTGCGATCTTTCAGTCGGCTGACGGATAACTGGTTGGCTTACTCTGAACAGTCGCCTCGCGGAAATGATCGTTTGAATAGTTTCAAGTGCTTCGCTTTAACATCGAAAGTCGACGATAATGCTGAGATCTTCAGTTTGCTAATGGTACCCTTTTTGTTTTTATCAGAGCTCTAGGTCCTGTTACAAAATCCCGCTTGCCGAACATCGTGAAAGTGACGGACAACTGGTTGCTTACCTTATCACATAAGGTATTAATACCGGAGACTCATCGAATGGCTAAATGTTCTCTCAGCCTAAAGGGCTGAGAGTATAACGTGCTTTTCGCCTTTAGAAACATTTCTGTTGAACTTGGGGCCTTGCAGTTTAAGTTGGGAGCAAAATTCAGTTTTTCGGTGGGGCAAGGCCCAGAGGGGACAGTGTTTTGTATGGCA